GGTTTATGTCTCCTTTAAAATCAAAGTGTGCCAGTTTCTCTAACTCTTCCTCTTCCTTTAAGGCATCTATTTCATTCCTATCTAATCCGAGGGCAACCAAAGCATCAGCAATTTCCTCCCAGTAGGTGTTGAACTTATGCATGGGAACTCCAGTTGATGGAGCATGATAGAGCAGATTTCGAAAATACCTGATGCGAACAATATTTGCTTCTGTTGACTTGTCGCTCGGAGGAGGCTTGTTGTTCCATCCGGTGTTCGGAGGAGACAAACCACAAATGTTGGTTAAGAGGATCGCAAGCAGTGTTATGTCAAACGACTCACGATCTGGTTGCGTTCCATCAAGTGGAAAGAGCTTTTCCCATTGATCATTATGAAGAACCTTATCACGTTTGAGACTTAATAGTGTTTGTTTGTGTTGACTGAGCGAAGTAGCTAGTAGTGGAAAGGGGTAATATGTATTCAGGAGTTTCCTTAATGCTGCTCCTCCCTCATTAATAACAAGATTCCGTAACTTCTCACCATTGCTCTTTTCTATGGGACTGGCAAAGGGTGATGTTGGAGGGCTCTCTGTGGCTACGCACGTGGAAACATTGATCTTTTCCTTTTCAGGGGCATAGGCCATGAGTTGTTTATTTTCACTGAGAATATGAATAACATTAGAACTCTCACAAAGATTTTACTCAATATCATCCCATTTTCAGCACTCAATTAAATATATCACTCTACAGTCGAACTAACGTTACTTGATCCAAAACTCGATGGACTGTCATAGTATACTTTCTTCTTCCCTAGCTTTATGTCACTAGTTTTCGCTTGGATCTTTATTATAAAACAGATAAAATGCTGAATAAATAGTAGCAAAATAGAAGAGTAGACGTTCAAAATGCCATTCTATGTTGACAGACGAAAACGATCAACCTCTCAATCGCAACTGGCTAACAGCCTGGTAAAACTATATCAGACATTTTCCCATTCAATGAAGTTCAATTGCTTGGAGCTTTCCCTGGGTTAATAACTAGTTCCTGACTGTCTCAGGAACAGAGAAAGTCTGCAAACTTCGTTCATGTTTTCATGAGCCAAGAGAAAATAATGGAACATTTTCTCTTACATATGCTCTGGCTTAAATAAAATTTTATCATGTAGAGGAGGTGTAATTTCTGTTACTGTGACTGAAGAGACTTCTAAACCCTCTTCGTTCACCATTTTTTTACCAGATATGAAGATTTATGTAACTTCCATATATTTCCTCTGAGAGATCTAATTCTAATATTTTCCTTTACATATGAGAGGAAAAAAAACATATAACGCTTCACTACACTTAACTATGAAATCTATAGGAAAATCGAAGTTTATAACTTCCTTTCAAACACAACGATACCATTGAACTGTGTTTTCAACATCACATCCGGAATTGTGAGCGCAAGGTCACAGCCTCGAAAGTAATTTATTTGCCTCACACAGCCATCTGTCACTGCCCTGTACACACAGGTCGTTTTCTCACAAAATTCAGCCTATTTATTATACTGTTATTAAAACGATTCAGACCAAGAACTTCGAACATTTACGTTTATATCTCTATCATAACTTAACATCGTTATGCTAAAGATCTCTGGTAAGGCTGCAATGGACTTTAT